ATCCTTTACAAGTTCTTCCCAAAACACCGAAGAGGCAGTAACACTTCCAACTCATTCCATGAGACCAAAATTATCCTGATACCAAATCAGAAAAAGACATCATAAGACTCAATAAAGCTGGGGGAAAAAATAATTCAGAGCAGCAAAAAATTAGAGAGGAAGAAAAAGACATCACAAGAAAAGGTAACTAAAGACCAATCTCTCTTATTAATAGAGACTCAGAAGCACTCAACAAAATACTAGCAAACAGAACCCAGCAATTTATAAAAAGGATTATACACCATGACCAAGTGGGATTTATCACAGGAATACGACATTGGTTTAACATCCAAAAATCAACAAACGTAACACACCCAAAACAAAGGACAAAAATCAAATGATTATCTCAGATGCAGAAAAAGCATTTGACAAAATTAAATACCCTTTCATGATAAAAATATTCAAACAAGAAGTAGAAGGGAACTTCCTCAACCTGATCAAGGGCATCTACAAAAAAAACCACACAGTTAACATCATACTTACTGGTAAAATAATGAATGATTTCTCCCCAAGTTCAAGAACAAGAAAAGGATGTCCACTCTCACCACTTCTATTCAACACTGTACTGCATGTTCTAGCCAGAGCAATTAAGCAAGACAAAGAAATAAAAGGCATCCAAATTAAAAACTATCTCTATTTGCAGAAGACATGATCACATATATAAAAAATCCTAAGGAATTCACACACAAAAACATTTAGAGCTAATAAACAAGTTTAGCAAGCCTGCAGGACACAAGATCAACACATAAAAATCAATTGTATTTCTATACATTTGCAAAGAAAAACTCAAAAAGGAAATAAACAATTCCATTCACAATACCATCAAAAATAATACTTAGGTATAAATAACAAAAGAAGCACAAGACATGTATGCTGAAAATTACAAAATATTGCTGAGGGCCGGCCCTGTGGCTTAGCGGTTAAATGCGCACACTCCACTACTGGCAGCCCAGGTTCAGATCCCGGGCGCGCACCGATGCACCACTTCTCCGGCCATGCTGAGGCTGCATCCCACATACAGCAACTAGAAGGATGTGCAACTATGACATACAACTATCTACTGGGGCTTTGGGAAAAAAAAAAGGAGGAGGATTGGCAATAGATGTTAGCTCAGAGCTGGTCTTCCTCAGCAAAAAGAGGAGGATTAGCATGGATGTTAGCTTAGGGCTGATCTTCCCCACACACACAAAAAAAAATATTGCTGAGAGAAATTAAAGATGACCCAAATAAATGGAGAAACATTCCATCTACATGGAGTGGAAGACTCAAGATGTTAAGACGTAAATTCTTGCAAAATTGTCTGTAGACTCAATACAGTTCCTATCAAATCTCAGCAGGCATTTTTGTAGAGTTGACAGCAGATGCAAAAATTTATATGGAAATGCAAGGGACCCAAAACAGCTGAAACAATTTTTAAAAAGAACAACAAAGTTGGGTGACTTGATCCAACTTCAAAACTACTAGAAAACTACAGTAATCAAGACAGTGTAGGGCCAGCCCCGTGGCTTAGCGGTTAAGTGCGTGCGCTCTGCTGCTGGCGGCCTGGGTTCGGATCCCAGGCGCGCACTGACGCACCACTTCTCCGGCCATGCTGAGGCCGCATCCCACATACAGCAACTAGAGGGATGTGCAGCTATGACATGCAACTGTCTACTGGGGCTTTGGGGGAAAAATCAATCAAGAAATAAAAATTATAAAAAAAAAAAAAAAAAAAAAAAAAAAAAAAAAAAAAGACAGTGTGGTTCTAATGTAAGGATAAGCACATAGGACAATGGAAAGAATTCAGTCCAGAAATAAACCCTTATATTTATAGCCAATTGACTGTCCACCAAACTGCCAAGATAATTTGATGGGGAAAGAATAGTCATGTTAATAAATGGTAATGGGACAAGGATGAATTTAGACCCTGACTTCAGACCAAATGCAAAAATTAACTCAAAATGGATCACAGATCTAAGAGAGCCAATCTATAAAACTCCACGAAGAAAACATTGGTTAACATATTCCAGACTTTGGATTGGGCAGAGTTCTTCAATATGACAATAAAAACATGATCCATGAAAGAAAAAGTGATAAATTGGACTTCAAAATTTAAAACTTCTGCACTCAAATGCCACCATTAAGAAATAAAAAAACAAGTCACAGACTGGGAGAAAATATTTGCAAATCATGTATCTGATAAAGGACTTGTACCCAGAATACATAAAGAATTCTTCTTACAACTTAAAAATCCAATTACAAGGGCCGGCCCCATGGCTTGGCGGTTAAGTGCGCACGCTCCGCTGCTGGCAGCCCGGGTTTGGATCCTGGGCGCGCCCCGACGCACCGCTTCTCCGCCATGCTGAGGCCGCATCCCACATACAGCAACTAGAAGGATGTGCAGCTATGACATACAACAATCTACTGAGACTTTGGGGGGAAAAAAATAAATAAAATCTTTTAAAAATAAAAATAAAAATCCAATTACAAAATGAACAATCTGAATAGATATTTCAGCAAAGAAGATACACAAATGACTAACATGTACATGACAAGATGCTCAACATGATTAGTCAGCAGGGAAATGCAAATTAAAACCACAGTGAGATACCACAATATAACACTAAAAATGGCTGTAATGAAAAAGACTGACAATACTAAGTGTTGGCAAGGATGTAAAGAATCCAAAACTCCCAATACATTACTTGTGGTAATGTAAAATGGTACAGTCATTTTGGAAAAAATTCAGCAGTTTCTTAAAAAGTTATAAACTTATAAGACCCAACAATTCCACACTTAGGTATCTAACCAAGGGTTATGAAAACATATGTCCACACAAAGAGTTATACACAAAGGTTCATAGCAGTGTTATGATAGCCAAAAGTAGAAACAACCCAAATGTCCATCAACTGCTGGATGGATAAACAAAATGTGGTATATCCACATAATAGAATATTATTTGGCAATAAAAAGGAATGAAGCACTGATACAAAATACAGTATGAATGAACCTCAAAAAACATTATGCTAAGTGAAAAGACTCAGATGAAAAAACTGCAGAGACAGAAAGCTGATCAGTGGTTGCCTAGGGCTGAGTAGAGATTGACTGCAAATGGGCAGGAGAGATCTTGTTGGAGGGAAAGGTCCTAAAACCGATTGTGGGATTGCACAACTCTATAAATTTATTAAAAATAATTGAATTGTATGCTTACAATGGATGGATTTTATGGTTTATAAGTTATACCTCAATACAAAACTGCTGAAAAAAATGTCAAGATCATGGAGGACTGCTCCAGATTAAAGGAGACTAAAGAGATATGACAACAAAAGGCAGTACTTAATCCTGGATTGAATCCTAGCCAGGAAAAAACCAAAAAAAAGCTGTAGAGGGCTACATAGGGCTCATTTGATAAAATCTGAATAAGGACCATGGATAAGAATAATATTAATGAATCAATGTTAAATTTCCTGATTTCTGTAATCGTGTACTCTGGTTATAAGAGAACGTCCTTGTTCTTAGGAAACACAATCAAGGATTTAAGAGATAAACAAGGCACAATCTCCAATTTACTCTCAAATGTTTCAGAAAAATATAACATGGAAATATGGATATAAGGAGAGACAATGTTAGAGCCAACGGGCAAAATGTAAACAACTGGTGAATCAGGGTAAAGGACATATGGGAGTTCCTTGTACTATTTTTGCAGTTTTTCTATGCAGTTGGAAATTACATCAAAATAAAGTTACAAAAAAACAAAAAATAATACAGGCAGGAAGAAATGGGTGGGGATGGAGATATGACATGCAGCATTAGGAAGCAATTAATTAAGCAAAGCAGATCTTAAAGTCACTAAAGACTATATGCCCTGAAAACAAAACAAAATCTCACTCCCCCATAAAGATGTTAGACTAGACGATATTCTAAAATCCTGACGAGGTCTAAAATGCAGTGGTTTACACCACTTCTCTTAGGGCTACCCTTTCCTTTGTTTCTAACACAGGCATAACTTCCAGGCTGGGGGCCAAAGGAGACCTTCCAGGCCTAAATTGTTCTGGTCAAGCCACCCAAAGAACTAATTCTACCCAGCAGGTTATTCCTAGAGCTCAAGTTTAAAGATTAAAAGGTAGGTTTAAGATCTACAAAGTGGCTTCTCAACTAACATAAGTACTCTCACAACCAGCAGAGTATCTTCCACAAAGTAAACACACATTTTTCTGACTGATCACAAAGGGCAGTGGCTAGGGATAAAAACCCTCATAAGCCTGCAGGCCAGGGGATGACAAGAACAGCTGGCCTGATTAGAAACAATGTCTGCCTGTCTCTTTCCTCCCTTCTCCCTCTCTTTCCTCCCCTCCCTGGAATTGCTGATCTGTCTCTTTTCTCCAGTTTCCAACTGGCAGTCTCTCTCTCTCACCTCAACCTCCCTTACTGTATCTCTCACAATATACTTTCTATTTCAAATAATACATTTTTGTGTTTCTTTTCATTTCTTTCTCTTTTGGTCTGTAAGTAAGCAAAAAGATATGTGAAATGATGTTCACCAAATGTTTATGAATGGTGGCATTTGGGGTGATTTTTTTCTTTGTACTACTACTTCAACTTTGTACAATGACTTTGTGTTTTAACCAAAAAATAAAAAGCACTGCATTTTTAAATTTCTAATTCTAGCAAGTGAGTTCATTTTAACCTTTTAAGCCTCTCCCTTGCTTCTGAAAAAAGAAGATAAATATTTAAGTGACTTTCCCTTATGAATGATCTTTAATTTTGTTTTCCCAAGCAGCTATGAGAAAAAAAAACCCTCCCATCTACTCTCTCTTGCTTTTCATCCACCCTTCACACCACCCCAGTGACACAAGAAAGAGCCACAGAACAGACACAAAGGGAGAGAACAATGAGGAGAGATGTGAAGCTTTGACCAGGACACAGCTTAGAGAACTAGGCCCTGTTCTTTTTACTCTCTTCTCTATTAACAGGTTTCTCACCAGAAAGATGTCTGCATAGCCAGCCAAGGACTCTACTCCCTCTTGGATCCGTGCTCCTCCAGAGTCATTCAGTCCAATCACTGGAGCCCCCACCGTCAAGGCCTGGTCCATGATCTGAGACAGCAGAGAAATCTTTTGTGAGACAACTGATCCCATTATCAAAAATAGCATTTACAAAGCACCACAGTGTTTTCTAGAAAATTTTCTGAATGCACTTTTCACAACAGCAGTCAGTAACACTGCCTTCAATCCCATCATGGTTGGGTATCTTCATGGAAGACAGAGAACCAGATACTTAAAGGGCTGATTAATGGCCCCCAAACATCCAAGAGCCAAAGCACCTCCCATTACCAGGGTGTAAGACTGCTCATGGCAACCTTTCTAGAGCCACAGGCCCAAGTCGTAATATTTTTCAGCAACCAGTTTGTTCCCAGTTACTCTTTTGAAAGAGCTGATAGTAGACAGAATGACAATGTAGTATTTCTGTGAAAATAAGTGTGGACCCATCTGCTAACACGAGGCCAGGCCCAGGCCTGCTTTTACTTCTAATGAGACAGATTTTCCTCATGAGTCAGCAGTTCACAGCCTAATGAACAACGTTACTAACAGCCCTTGACAGTTTACAAAGCACTTTCACTCCATTATCTCTTTTAACCATCATAGGAGGCAGGAGAAAAATTAGGAAGGTTTAAAAGTTAAGTGATTGGCTCAAGGTCTCAGGGGTAATATACAACAGGACCATGTCTAGAATCCAGGTGTTCCATTATAGAAGGAAGCCCTGCCCCGCCACTACCAATCAACTCTACCTTTAATTCCAAAATTCCCCAAATATGGTCTACACTTTTATTCATCTCCAAAGCATCTAATCTCTGGCAGGGTTTTTTAAATACCATCATGTAATCCTTGCACTGCTCTTTATCTTTTAGCACCTGGACTCTCCACTGAGACCATGGGTTCTTTACCTGGGATCCTCAGAACCCCAAGGGGTCTGTGAATAAATTTCAGGGAGTTGATGAACCTGGATGGGAAAAAACTTACATCTTTATCTTTATTAACTCTAGCTGATCTTTAGCATTTCCTTCGATTACGAATACAGGCCAAAAAAAACCACAGTAGTATTAGAAATACCTGTGACTTTGTCATTCATAGAAGTCACAGATATTTTTATGTCACATTAAAGTTGTTGCAGATATCCTGAAATATCATTTTCACTCATGCCTACTTTGAAATTATAGCAGTTTAGATCCACTGCTAAATCTTATTAATGCATTAGTAAGGAAGCACTTTACAAATGTGATTTTGTTTTAAATATCTTTAATCCTTTGTGATCCTACATATTACTGTATGCATGTAAAAAAAATGAGGGTCCAGGCTTCACCAGTCTACCAAAGGGATCTATGGTACGAAAACTGTTAAGAAATTCCTGCCCTGGACTGAAGGCACCTTTGGGTCAGCAGCAAATCTTGCACACCTCTGCCCCACCCCACATACCCAGTTCAGTGTCTTGCACCCCAACAACACTCAACATGCACTATGAGACTTATGAAAGTACTGGATTTGTTTTCAGTATTAAATACTTACTTTGCAGATCTTTTGGGCATGTGCTCCTGACAGACTGCCTCCAAAAACTGTAAAATCCTAAAAAGAAAACAATGAAATCAACATAAAATATAGTGACTAGCCAGAGATAAAGAACCAGTAAGAGGAGGAAACGGAAAGTTCAGACAAACGATCTTACAAGATTTTCAGAAGTTTAAAAATTAAGACTAAAGTGTGACATAAATTATTCCATGGAATAGTGAATAAAATATCTTAAAAGGAGTTAATGTATCATCAAGAGCAAAAGACCTAGCCTTTGCTCTACAAAAATGATTTGTAGCTCTGAGGAAAGGAAAACTTTTCATGCAGAACTAACCTGAAAAATCAGATTCAATGGATGTCAAACAGTCAGGCATTTCTACTGCTAGGAAACACTTGCTGTTTTGACAAGGGAGGTGAAAAAAGTGAATCAGAACCCTCATGCTTCCTCTTGCCTATGGATTTTCATTACCTTCTGATATAAAGGGCTTCTTGCAAGAATGACTTCCTTCCTAAAACCCCCTCAAAAAGACAGTGGGGAATTAAAAACAGACTCAGCCCATGAGGACAAAAAAGGAAGAGGAAACAGCAGCAGAAGAGACATTGAACAAATGTGAGGGGAACTGAAAGCACAAGCAGAGTATCTGACTTAGAGGGAGCAAATGGAAGCCCACACACCTGCAGAGGGAGCAACCACGAGGAGGGGACAACTCGGGAACCATGGAAAGTGGGAGGGGAGGAGGGGTGAAAAACAGACTGATGTGAAGTCTGTGTTAGGAGCAGTTAGACCCCACAGGGCCTCTCCTTCACCTTGAGAGGAGAAAGGTTTCTTCTCTAAAGAAACTTAAGCAGAAGGCTTCTGGACTCACAATCACCAGCCACAAAAGAAGACAAAGGTGAGGCTGAGAACAGCTGAGATTGGGAGCCTGTACACTGAATGTTGAGCCAGTGCTGGCCCCTCCCTTCCCATACTCTCCCACCCAGAACACACCTACAGCCAATTATCAGGCAAGAGACTGAAGCTGCTTCTCTGGAAAAACAGAAGCTCTCCAGAAAAAATGCACACAGATATTAACATTTTGGGGATCACTAAAAAAAGCTGGCTCATCACTCCCTACTCTCAGTATCCTTCAGGGCCTATTTCAAATGCCCCACTTTCCATAAAGCTTTCCCCAATCCTGGATGTGATCTTCCCTTGTCCTGAGCCCACAGCACTTGCTCGGACCCTCTCTCACCCTATCTGTAGTCACTCCTGTTCTGTCCCATTCTATCTACAAAATGATTAGCTTCTTCAGGATAAGAATTCTCTCTCAGTCATCTCCACCTCCCCCTCACCTCTACCCTACCCCATGAGCATAAGAAGTGCTCAAAAGTATCAACTGAATGAATTTTTGTATCTGCTTAACAGTTAGGAGAACACCGTGCCCACAAATCACAGTAACTTTCTTTGTTCTAGCTATCTTATTAATGGTTCCTTCTGTACAAGTTTTTGCCTAGCTCTCATAAATTACAAAAAACAGAGACGATTCCTTCTAGCTAAGCTTTTGGTAGACCCATTTATAACATTTCAATTAGCAAATGAGTATTGTCTAAATACAAATTTAAAATTAACCAAGCATAATGATTTTAATATCAAACCCAGAAAACATTTCAGGTTCCTAAACAAGCTCTATAACTTTAGGTCTGTAAAAGGGACTAAATATTTAGATTTATAGATGTATTTCTACCTCTCAGGAGAGGAAAAAAATTAAACCCAAAAAAGTATACAACATGCCCGTCGTGTTAGTTTTCTATTGCTGCTATAACAAATTACCACAAATTCAGTGGCTTGAAACAACATAAATTTAATACCTTACAGTTCTGTAATTTAGAAGTCCTACATAGATCTCATTGGGCTAAAGGGCTATGCTCCTTTCTGGAGGCTCCAAGAGAGAATCTGTCTTCTTGCCTTTTCCAACTTTTAGACCCATCTGCATTCCTTCGCTCATGACCCTCTTCCTCCACCTTCTAAGCCGACAACCACAGGTCAAGTCCTTCCCATACTACATCACTCTGACTTCCTCTTCTGCCTCTCTCTTCCACTTTTAAGGACCCTTGTGATTACATTGGGCCCACCAGGATAACCCAGAATACTCTATTTTAAGGTCAGCTGATTAGCAACATTAATTCCATCTACGAGCTTAACACCCCTTTGCCATGTGAGGTAACACATTCACAGGTTTCGGGGATTAGGACTTGGACATCTTCGGGGGCCATTATTCTGCCTACTACGTTCTCCTACAGTCTCAGTGTGAAGAAACCACATCTGTCTTGATGCAGCCTGACAAAACTTGTTTGAACACTTTCATGGACGCCCAAAACTCTGGGGCCTGTGGTTCTGAAAGTCAAGCGTCCTCGCCCAGGCTGCATCCACCGTGCTCTCTCAGGCCCACGCACTGCTGCCCTCCAGGCCACACCCAAACTGCCAACAGGAATCTCACTCACGTGGAATAAACTCCTGATTCCTGGGACTTCTAACCTGATTACTGCCCTGTGACCCTCCCCCAATCAGACTAAGGATTCTTTCTCTCTAAGAAAAAACACATAGTATGATACTCTGGACATACGCACTGAAAAACAAAGTAAATCCCTTATCTGGCCCAAACTACAGGCAAGTTTTAATTCCCCCCAAGACTGTTTTTTTCTCATATACTTTGCTCCTGGCTCTGCCCTCCAGGAACGCTCAGTCCATTGGAGTTACGAAATACCTGACTGAAGATATAAACCAATCTTCCATTGATTCGGCCCCGTCCAGTAACCACACTGTCTCCAGGAAACTGCCAGAAAAATAGAAAAATAAAGGTTAAAAACCTCAAATACTTCTTTAAATGAATCTGGCAATTATGCCCCAATGAAACCCCACCCCAATCCCGGCAAAAAGTCCACCCCAAATTCCTCAAAATTCAGTATGAATAAGGAAGATGAAGGAATCTCCCCTTCCCCTCCCAGCTCTGCAACAGCAAGCACTGGGCTACTGATTCAACAACAGAAGTGAAGGCCACTGTTGTCTTAGACCTCATCCTCCTTCCTAAAAGCAGAATAATCAAGAGACCCCCGAAGATCACCACTACTAAATGCTCACCGGAAGGAGAAGGACATATAAAGAAACATAGCAACTTCTAAAAGCCACATACCCCACCCCCAAACCTTAAAAAGGCAAACTCATCATTTTGCTTGGAATCTTGGCAATCAATATGTGGCCCATAATGGTTCAAATGGAGCCAGGTGGTTTGGTGCCAAGTTTACAAATCTTTGGTCACGAATAGCATATATACAGACCTGAAGAAAAGTGACCAAGAATGAATCCAAAGAACTCTGTGCACCCATGGAGAACAACCAATTAAAGAAGAAGTGTCAGTGACTCTAATACCAAAAACCCCAAAGCATAAAATTATGTCAAGAGGCAAGTGGTTGGCCTTTTGGGGTCTCTGGTGCCTAGACAGACCAGAGCACAATGAAAAGACATTCTCACTTTTCCTTCCAAGTTTGTCATTCTATACTGCAAGAACTCTGAACCCACAACCAGAGCCCTGGAATTGGGCCAGAGTCACACTGCATAAGGAATAGGCAGTGCACTCATCTGCAGACAAAGGGAAGTAAGTGGGGGAACCTGGAGGCCCCAGCAGTGCTTCTCCAGAGGCACTCCTGCAATTCCAGGGCCCTAACTTGAACATTTTTCAATGTATCCTGAGTCCCAGAAAGGCTTCATTAGTCTAGTGGGTAGGCCAGCAGGGCCACAGCTGGAAGGTGCAACTTGGAGGCTCACACCACCATTGTGAACAGATACCTTATTCTTATCAGCAGCCATTCCAAAATCTGCACATCTGTGTTCCACAAACATGTCACTCTCAACGAAACTGCCAGGGTCCAGCAAGAGACTGATCCGCTCTCTGGCCGTTAGCTTTCCCTAAAATGCAACAAAAATCACTCAGGGATGTCCTCATAGATAAAGTTAGTAAGCAAGGAGTGCTCATGGGAGGGCCAGGAGGACAGGTTTTTCCCCTTCACTCCTATTCTGTCAACCTGCCCAAGAGACCGGTATGATCAGTAGACTTCAGCCAATAAGGACATCAGGGCAGACAGGGTGCTCCAGGAGCCAACTGTGGAGGGCAAATAAGGAAGTAGGAGGAGGGAAATGTGGAGAGGAAAAGCGGGGCTAAGGAGAGCCTGACCCCGGAACAAGATAACTAGTTCCACAAACATTTACTGGAGACCTAAAGGACCATAAAAAGAAGAATGGAGAAAAAGGAGCTGGAAAAGTAAAGCAGGCTTAGTGAAGGGTCTGAGGCTACACCCCTAGATCCACAGGCTTCTTCTAGGGAAACCCACAGAGGCTCACCTCACTAGGGCCTAGCCCCAAAGACACTTCCAGGACTACGTGCTCCATGGGCTTCTTCTACTATCCTACATTGTCCCAAAGCAGGGCCCCCACACCTGACAATGATGCTATGGTACAGAGACAACCCCACAGCAGGGAGCGGCTGAGTAGAAAAGGAGTGGGACGGAGAATGCTCAAGAACTCACTTGAGAGGAGTAAAAAAATGCTTCTTGGAGGGGTTGAGATTGGAGCCCTCAACCTAGCAAGCACCTCCACTGCTCGGGCTCCCAAGCCCTGAAACCAAGCCAAACACCCGGGCCCACTGTCCTGCTCCTCCACCCTCAAAAAAAACACCTCAAATTGGCTATATTTTTCCCTTAAGTAGCCAAAGCCAGTGAGGTTATGTTAAACAGGCAATCCTATACGCTGTCGTGTAAAGTAGAAGTTGTTTACCAGAAAGCAATTTGGCAATATATACCAAAGTGTTAAAAATATTCGTATCTTTTGACCCAGTAATTCCATTTCTGGGAATCTATCCTATGGAAGTAGTCCAAAAACTGTTTAAAAGAGGGTGGAGTGGGGGATTTATATCAAGTCAGCCTCCTGACTAAGTCCGCTTTGGCAAAAGAAAAACAGCTTCTGGAAGCTGCATCTAAACCCACTAGGATCTGCCCCGGAAGGGGTGGAGTGATGTTCCAGGGAGGAATTGAGCAACGGGTCCTAACAGAAAGAGTGCACGGGAGCACTGACAGGCCTTTCCAGAGGATGATGTAAAATTTCCCTCACCCCAGAGCCACCCCAGAGGGAGGGAGGGAAAGCACTGCTGACACACTATCAACCAAAATTACTCCCAAGTGTCAAAAAGGAACTGTCACCTTCAGGCCCTTATCAAGTGGGAATTTACAACATCTAAATCAACAATCAATCTAGATTTAAATAAAGGGCTGGTTCAAATCTCCTCACTGAAGACCCCAGTCACATTCCCCATGCTGTGAGTTGTGCCTCAGTGCCCTTCAGAATTTCTCTTCTGCATCTTCCAGGTTATTTAATTCATCTAGCACATCAATCCAGACTCACACACGTGTCAGGGACGCACTGAGCGAGGCTCCTTTCAAGTTCCAGGTCACGGATCTGGGCCTCAGTTTCTTCTGTGATTAAATGGCCCACGCAGGGGCCGGCCAGGTGGCACAAGCGGTTAAGTGCACGTGCTGCGCTTCAGCGGCCTGGTGTTCGCAGGTTTGGATCCTGGGCGCACACCGTCGCACCGTCGCACCGCCGCACCGCTTGTCAAGCCATGCTGTGGCAGTGTCCCATAAAGTAGAGCAAGATGGGCACGGATGTTAGCCCAGGGCCAATCTTCCTCAGCAAAAAAAGAGGAGGATTCGCATCAGATGTTAGCTCAGGGCTGATCTTCCTCACCAAAAAATAAATAAATGGCTCACCCAGCATATCTCCGAAGGCAAGCTGCGATTCTCACCTCTCGCCTCCAAACCTGGGTGGTGGTGACAGTGCCTCAGCTGCTCACTGCAGCCTCATCCAGAGTAGCCTGCGCACTTCCAGAAAAACCACCTGCTTCCCACACGCACCTTTCCTACCCAGCAGGTCGATGCACACTGAGACCCTAAAGGGGTTCCGCTGGCATTCTGGGGCAGGGGTTCCACAAGCTCCCTGCGGTCACACCACACACCCCACCCCAGGTTAATGTGAAAGTCTGCCCATGTTACTTCCCTTGCCATTATGCCTCGATTTTCCTGCTTCCATAAATAGAGCAAGAACCTACCACCCCTCTTTCAGGGGGCATGAGAAAAACAAGCGGCATTTTTGTTTAAGCGCCTACTATTGCTTCACTGTCTACGCTACAATAAGATTGTGAGAGAATTACTACTATCTTCTGCTTAGAATAAATTGACTCCTAGAGATCAAGTAACTTGTCCTAAAGTTTAGAGCTGTTGAGTGGTGAGCCGACTGGAGGCCGGCCAGCTCTCTAAAACTGCAAAGGGAAAGCAGAGTGATAAAGCACAAAAGTGCTTATCCTCATTTTAGTAAAAGGCAACAGGTTCTCAAGGTGAACATTCTCGTCCCCGCCCCTCCCCGGCGCCGCGCGGATTGGCTGCGAGGCCTCGGGCGCCGCGAGGCGGGCACGCTGTGATAGGTCGAACGCAAGGGTGGGCTGGCCTGAGCCCGCTCAGGACTCACTCGCTTATGCTGCGCGTCGATGCGGCGCTGGCCTCCGCCCAGCAGCGCGGTGCGGCGCTTGTCCTCGATGCGCTCGTTAACGGAGACGGGCTGGCTGCACACGCTGCGGACCGCCGCGCGGAGACTGCTCGCTACAACGCGGAGCTTTGCTACAGCTGCCGCCACGCGCACAGCCGCCGCCATTTTTGCTTTGGCGGCACGCTCCCAGCCGACGCACCTGAGTACGCATGTGCATCAAGCGTGGGCACTGCAGAGTCTGCGCCTGCGCAGCGTGGGCGGGACTCAGGAATGCAGAACGCGCTTGGGCGGAAATCCCGAGAGTTCGAGACCCGAGATCCCGCTAGGTTTCGCCCAGAGGAGTATAGTACTGGTCCTCAGATCTTGTGCCCGCCTGGCTGCACAGAAGATGGACTTAGTCCTTGCTCTTCTCTGACTACCTAGACCTCTACTTTTGTCGTCCCACTTCCTCCAGGAAATGAACAGATAATAAGAGTTAACCAACATTTTTTTGAACACTGTGCCAGGTGTTGCATTAGCTTATTATCCTGATTTTACAGCTGAGGCCAGTGAAGCACAGAGGTAGAGTGATTTGGTCAAGAGCCAAGACTAAAGATGTGGTGGAGCCAGGATTCAAACACAGAGACATGCTGTGTGCCATATATTGAGCACGGGGCTCTTCCAGTGAATAGTTCTCAGTGTGTGGGCCCAGCAGCTTCAGCATCACCTGGGAGCCAGTGGGAAATGCAACCTTTCAAATTCCCAGATTCTATCCCAAACATAGTGAACCAAATTCTGGGGGTGCGGCCAGCAATCTGTTTCAACAGGTGACAGCTAGGTGATTTTGATGCTTGGTCGAGTATTGAGAACCACTGCTCTAGGGATTTAGAACTGAACTCCTGGGAGTTTGTCCATGTGTTTCCCCAGCTAACAGGCAGGTCGTCGAGGCAAAGAACAAGGTGTATATTTCACATTCTTAGCCACAGAAAACTGTTCAAGTTGATCATTAACCCCTCCAAGCTCCAGCTCACAGCCAGGGTCTTCATAAAGTCCAAAGTCTGGCCTGGGACTTTAGTGTTAATACAATTCAATTCAGCAAACATTTCTGAGCACCTACTATGTGCCGAGAACTAACTACCAATACTTATTACGTTTCCTGGAGTAGTAATTGTTCAGCTAGATATGCAGGGAAGCTGAGGGTCCAAGGCCTGAAGTCATGTGGCTAGATGAAGCCTACCTGTATCTTGTCTGATTCCGGAGAGGATGCTTGTGGCCCTGCAGTTGAGTCCTTGCTTTAAGGACCTCACCAACCTAAAGAGGTAGACAGACCAAGGACTGTCCTGGTAGTACGGGGGAGAATTTGGGCAAGTCTGGGTGTGTCAAGGAGACTATCTCTGAGAAGGTAACTTGCATGCCAAGGAACAGGAGTAGTGGCATGTTCAGATTCACACACACAGTTGTGTCCCCAGCTTTTGGGGGAATGATGGTAAATGAGACTGGAAAGCAATAATGGAGTTAGAGTGTGAAGAATTTTGCCGTGTTCAGAAATTGGGACTTGATTTGGGATGGAAGCAGTAGGACTCCTTTCTCCTAAAGTGCTTTGCAGATCCCTCTCCTATGGCACATCTCACACTGTGTTAAGCTTGTTTAGCTATCTTCCCAAGCCAAAGGGCAGAGACAATGGCTGGTTTGCTCACCCCCATGGCCCCTGCACCTAGAACAAGGCCCAACACATAAGAAGTCTTCAGAATGTATTTGTGGAATTGAACTGAGCTAGCAAATAGGCAATTGCATGTGGCTTGGGAGGTTTTCTCCTACACCTATGCATCTTTCCAGGCTCTGCTCAGGTATTATCTCCTCAACGCAGTCCACCCTGATCCTCCCTCTGCCTGGGTTGGGGAAAGTATTGGTCCCTCAGGGAAGCAAGGAAGTTTTTTGACTTTGAATAACCAGTGCTTAGCAGAAAGCCCAGTGCAGGATGGATCTATAAATGACTGTTAGACTGAACCTAAGTGCTCCTCCAGGTGGTTCTCTCTCCCTCCCCTTCGTCTTCCCTCTCCTCCCATTCTTCCTCCTCACTGTCCTAGTGCCCTACCCCTGGGTACTCCATACACAGTTCTATAGATCTATATTGTATTCCTCCTACCTCAGATGCAAGTCCCAGCCTAGGGTGGGGTAGGAGGAGGGTTGAACTACCCAGTAATTGCCCTCTAGAATCCTAGCATGCTCTGGACTATTTTCCTGTCCCTAGTCCCCTTGATGGGTTGCTATGTTTGAGTTACTTCTCCATTTTGAGACAGGAGTCACCCTGATCTGGCCATTTTATTCCAGTCAGTGAGCACTGTCAGCAAGGATGGATGAAATGGAAGGAAAGAGTTAATTTGGAATCAGTCACACATATTTGGGAGAGTGTGTTAGTCTGGGTCTTCTCACAAGCAGCTGCCAAGTGGGGAATTAAACATTCAAGAAATCAGTTAGGGGAACCACCTGGGAGAGAAAATGGGACCTCACCTGGGAGAGGCTGAGAGAACTCTCCAACTGCAATGCAAGTCTGACCCCCAGTCAAGGGGAGAGAGAAGGAAGAAAGGTGGCTGGGAGCTTCTTAGACTACTGTGCAGTTTTAAGGGAAATTCAGCAAGGCTGTCAAGGAGTCCTAGAGCCAAAGTATTCCTGCCCTGTTCGTCTGGGAGCAGCCTGTGAGAGGTGTGGCCTCAGCACAAATTCAGCTGTTAATTTTGGAACAGCAGCTGGGACTCTCAGTCAGTTCTGCCCAGTACAGTCCAGGTGTCTTCTTACCTCACAGAATTTGGGGTGTTTAGGAGTAAAGGATGTGAGAGAGAGGAGATTTTGGAGAGCAGCTGCCATCCATGTGGGGAGAGGACTTTTATTTCTTGTGCTTTGTGAATGCACTTCTCTCCTTAGTGTTTTATTTTAAAAACTGAAGGAAAAAACTGAAGTACTTTAAATTCACTTTTTTTTCCTGGTCTGTGTTTCTTTGTCTGCTGAGATTGGGTTACAAGATCCCTGGTTTAAAATCTAGTTAAAATTGTCCTTAAGACCTGGAACCTCATTTTCCCCAGACCACACACATTTTCCAAGCCATCTTCAAAATTCTTCATCTTTTCTGACTCCTTGGGCTCTGTGGGAAATGAGCAGAGCTGGCCTCTTTTTCCAGAGGCGCTTCTAGACCATTCTTCTACTCTTGCTGCACTGCTCTTCCTTTGAAGTTTATGCCATCTGTTGGTACCACCCTTTCAGCACTCTCTGACCTCCACAATACACCCTCCGCTCCCTTCTTTTCTTTCTGCTGTGATTTCCACATCAGGCTCACTTTTTCCCACTACCTGCAATGTTCTCCAGAGAAACAGAACCATTGGGATATATATATGGAGATTTATTACAAGAATTGGCTCATGCAGTTATGGAGGCTGGGAAGTCCCACAGCGTGCTGTCTGCAAGATGGACCGAAGGAATTAGTGAAAAAAAAAGAAATAAAAAGCATTCCAATTGAGAAGGAAGAAGTGAAACTGTCGCTATTTGCAGATGACATGATATTATATGTAGAAAATTCTATATACTCCACCAAAAAGAAAATGTTAGAACTAATAAAAAATTCAGCAAAGTTGCAGAATACAAAATCAATATACAAAAATCTGTTGCATTGCTATACACTCATAACAGATTCTCAGAAATAGAAATTAAGAAAACAGTCTCATTTACAAGTGTGTCAAAAAGAATAAAATACCTGGGAATAAATTTAGCCAAGGAGGTGAAAGACCTATACACTGAAAACTATAAGAAATTAATGAAAGAAATTGAAGAAAACACAAATAAATGGAAAGATATTCTGTGCATATGGATTGGAAAAATTAATATTGTTAAAATGTCCATACTACCCGAAGCAATCTACAGATTCACTGCAATCTCTATCAAAATTCCAATAGCATTTTTCACAGAAATAAAACAAATAATCTTAAAATTTGTATGGAACCACAAAAGACCCTGAATGGCCAAAGCAATCTTGAAAAGAAGAACAAAGCTGGAGGCATCACACTCCCTGATTTTGAACTATATTACAAAGCTACAGTAATTAAAACAGTATGGTATTGGCATAAAAACAGACACATAGATCAACAGAACAGAATAGAGAGCCAGAAGTAAACCCACATCCTAACCAGACTGTTCTTGTGGCATATATGTGTTCAGAACTGTGATATACTAGGTACATCTTGCTGGAATAGTAGAAGATATGAAAAGGATTTGGATTTGAAGAAAAAGTGCTTGAGTTTACAAGAACAGTTCCAGTATTGCCTTCTGATATACTGATTCTACTGCCCTTGAGGATGCCCATTCCCATTTCAACCAAAAGAGCCTTAGTGATTCCATTTCTAGATAGTGGATTGTATTTAAGGTAAAATTCAGCCATGATACAAGAAATACTCTTTCTTTTTTCCTCATCCTCCTTCTTCCTAGCCCCCTTCCAACTGCTTAGAAAGTTCTAAGACCAGAGTCATGGTACTAGATTTAAAAATGTTTCTTTTCATTAGTGGCTTCTTTTCCTAACTTCTTTTTCTTTTATAATTCCTGCTACATTTCTAAAAGGCTATAAGAATTATGATAATTTCACAACTATTTCTATTATAATGGATGATTTTAAGCATTTGGTATGAATTATGCTGTTCTGAAGCAATTAAGTTTAACATCTAGAAACTGGAAAAAATTAACTATTCATATATGACTCTCCACTGGATTATAAGCTTTTTTAGGATAAAGATTTTATGATTTTTATTTCTGTATTTCCAGTGCCTAATGGTTTCTGATACATGAAAGGTATTCAATCACTGAATAAACTTGGTCTCTCCCTACTTCAGTTTCTCTGGGGAACTGGAATTATCTGACCCTCGGCTCCATCACTAGAGACAGCTGCTTTCTCATGGAGCATGGGAAACCTATATGGTTTCCTGAGAGTGTTGTTGACATTTGAGAGGTACTTATTGGGGAACATCAAAAGTAATAAAGATAATTAGGGTATGGTTCATCCCATCCAACTCCCCCCAAAATTTCAACCTTGTGATTGATGCAAGTGTGACCCTGAGTGAATGAGAAAAAGAAGGAAGGAAGATTGAGAAGCATCATCTTTGCAGTGCAGTGTAAGGAAAGTCAGCAAGAGAACTGAATGAAGTGATGCCACCATGCACTCTCTGCTATCACACTGGGTTTGTTATTTTGTCAAGAAGGAAGGAAGGAAGAGGGAGGGAGGGTAAGAGAGAAAGA